GATTACCCATATTGCTAATAAACAGCGTCCCACCGCTTACGACCAGCCATTGTGGTTATAAATACATGCACATCATTTAGCCTGTACGTATCACTTACCAGCTCATATGAATTATGATTAGTGATTCGTTATACGTATTTACGTCTTTTAAGTTTTAACATTGTTATTAATTGTTCTGTGTGCCTGTACGTGATCGTGAATCGCCTGAATTCTTACTTGGTGATTTTTTATACTTTCGTCGTTCAATTATAATATTATGACTAATAATAGCAATAATAAAAAGTAAGTGAATGCTTAGAATCGTTTTACTAAAGAAATAAGTTATCGTTTCTTTAAAATTCAATACACCCATTAACATTATCTTGTCCAAGGACCGGAGGGACAAGGAATGAACATCCACCACCATCATCTCACTTACCAGCTTTTTATTATTTATCCTGTACTATTTCAGATTACTTGGGTTGTTGGAATTTTTCCAGAATCTAAACAATATAGTGTAATCCCATCCAATTGGCTCATTGAAAATATGTACAGCAATTCAGGTCCAAATTTTTGCAAATGGCCTCCGTTTGCAGTTACAAGTACTCATTTGAAAGAAGGACAAAATCCATCTCCAAATTGGGAAACACATAGAATCAACATTTTAAACGGAAGTAAAGTTTATGGTAAGGATGTAATTATTCCTTATTAGTATATATCTATATATCCTATATACTGTATATCCTTAAATTTTATCCAGAGTTTTATAAATTTAAAATTAATAATATTGAACACAAAAATAAAGAATATGTTTTAAAAAAGTAACAATATAATATATAATATTATTCAATATGTATTTATAATATTATAAATATTGAATAAAAAAAATATGTTATAGGTAGGATAATACCAGATAGTAGATACCTATAAAAAATTATGCCTTGAGTATTTAAAAAATGTTAAATGAAATATAACAATAGTATATATACTAATTTTAATTATTTGTTATTACCAGGTTACCTGTAATTTTTATTTTGAATTATTTAAATATATCTAATTTGTACCTAATGTATACCTTTATCGTAAATTTTTAAAATATATATTTATAATTCAATTGCATTAAAATAAGTAGGTAAATAAATAACTAGGTACTTACTTCATTGTTTTATTAAGTTGAATAGGTAGTATAAAGTAAGTATACATCTTCATATACATTTTATTCCTATATTTGTATTATATTATTTTACCTCAACAATTTATTTGAATATTTACAAAGGTAATAACATATAAAATAAGTATCAATTGACCATATTTCAAGAAAATTAAATTAATTTACCAATATACACCTATGGGTAGTACTTGACTTCTCATTATTTTATTATTAACAAGATAAACAATAATAAATATTATTTAAAATTTGATTCCCAATACATTTTTTATAAATAAAATCATACTTAACAAATTAATTACTGTTTACCATTATTATATTACTTTTAGTCAAGTTCAACAAAGCATGGCACATGAAAGTTAAAGTTAAATACTCATCTACAGAAACTGATGACGATTATGGGAAAGCAAAGAAAAAACAAACTTGAATGTTTCTTCTGATAGTGAGGATTCAGGTAATGATTTTCATATTATCTAATAATATTGAATTTGATTTGACTAGTTATGATAATCTTTATTGTTTTTTGTTTTTATTCAACTAAATAGATCATGGATTTACTGTAATGTCTAACAGTAAAACTTCTACTAGTATGTCTAATGTTTACAAGTTTTCTGATGTAAAATTTGATGATCAGTGTCTTCAATATATGAAACCAACTTCATCTAGACAAATTATGCCTACTGAGTCTTTGTCTGCTTCTACTTCTCTGACTGAAAACCAATGTTATACAAATTTAACTCCATCCACATCAACAAATAATGCACAAAGGCAATCTGTAAAACCAGAAATGATTTACTCTGAAGAACAAATATCATCTGAACACTCTGTAGAACATTCTGTACATGTAAGTAATCATAATATATATGTGTGTGTGTGTGTGTGTCTACTGTAAAAATAACATTAAATATGTATTTTATATTATAGTAAGACTGATGTTTAATAATTTATTGTAGGCTAAAAAACTTTGTTGAACACGGTAGTTCAAGCTTTCAGATTGTAGATGTACTAAATAGGTTGAATAGAGAAATGGTAGCTAACAGTTTTATGTTGAAGTGTTTATTGGCTAAAGTTGATACTATTGAAACATATATCAAACATCAAGAAATTAATTCCACAGGTACACATACCAGAACTTTCCTAGAACCAGAATTTTTTTCTCAATTTCCTATCAAAAACACTGAGGAATTCTCATCATTAGAAAATCGTATTAGAAATGAGTCTGGATATATTCTCAAATTGGTACATAATATACTACTTTATAAAAAAAAAAATTGAATTATTTAATTGTCTTTTGGGTATAATACATACAATATATTTTCAGGAGAGTTATATTAAATCAATAGGAGGAAAAGACCATAAAAATAATATAAATAGAATATTAGCAAAACTGTTTTCAAACCAATTTGCTATTCAATGTTCTTGGACAGGCCGAGGAAAAAATATTAATATTAAATTAGGAGAGTCTGCTACAATTAATGCAATGAAAAGTAATAATGATTTAAAATTATTTTAATTCAAATATATTTATAATTATTATTTTTTGTAGACAGTTTGAAAGACAATTTTTCCAATGTTTTTACTGAGTCAGTCTTTGAAAAAGTAGTTGCTGATTGGTTGTGTTACGTGGTACCCAATAAAAACAGGTACCTATCGTAATGATGTTGTTGAATCAGGGTAAATTTGATTAAATAATTATTTCAAACACTTGTAAACACTTTAATAAATACAATTACAGAAACAGACATAGATACAAAAATATAAATTATAAATTTGCGCGCTAACAATATCAAAGACGAAACTCAGAAGGGCTTGGTCTGATAGCTAGACACGTCTGCCGTTGGTGTTGAAACGGAGCCTTTATATACTCTGTTGATTCTGTTTTAATTGTGTTGTTTTCGACACGTGGCTGTCCTTGGTCTTGGTCTTCATATCCAAGTGATGTTTCATCACGTGGTTGCCCTTGGCCTTGATTGTCTTATTCGAATGATGATGTTGTTGTGGTTGTTTGAAATTCGCGCGTGGCGCCCATTAAGGTTGTGCAAGTACGTTTTTCCTTATACGACTCAGGAATATGCGTATTATTATTTCTCAATAATATATGCATATTACAGTTGCGTAATTCCAATACTCGGTTTGGTAGAATGAAATAAGCTATTTTACCCAAATTTTTATTATATCAGTATTTATTTCAAGAATAACCAATGACTTATTTTAATTTATTTATTTATCACTTTTTCAACATTTTACTCCAATGTATATTACTATAAAATTCTACTTGTTGTATTTGTTTATTATACAGTATACTCAAATAAAAATGTGTATCTATTATAATTTGTTATTATTGAATAGTAATCATAATTTATTTTCAGCGCCAGAAAAAAAGGGTTTGGAGAAATAACAAACCGTCATTTCAAAAAATTGTTACAAAATGAAGTTAAGAAATGTAGTAATATAGTTGAAACATCTCAATCAAATAATGAAAAAAAAATTACATCTGGTATTATGAATAAACCTTTAGAAAACGTGTCATCACCTATAGAAAATAACCATGTTTGAATAATAATTTTATTTGTTTGCCAGAAAATTCTTTGAATAATTATTCAAAATGTTCTATGTTTGATAGTACTTCACATAATGTAGAAACAGATATTTGTGATAAACTGCGTACTTGGAATATACAATTTAATGTAAATCACAATTGTTTAAATTCATTATTAGAAGTGTTAAGAAGTGAAGGTTTAAAAGTCCCAAAAGATGGACGCACTTTAATGAAAACTCCATCAAAACATAATATTTTACAATTAAGTAATAATGGTTCTTACATACATTTTGGCATTGACCGTATGGTTTATCCAATTTTACAAAAACATGAGAGTGATTTAATTAATGTAAAAAGTTTAAACTTGGGTATAAATGTGGATGGGTTACCTTTAGCCAAAAGCTCAAAAAGTCAATTTAGGCCTATTTTAATTTGTATTATAAATGTCAAAGTGTTATCGAAATATGTTATTCCAATTGGTATTTTTCATGGTTTAGAAAAACCATCTTCGGTAAATGAATTTTTAAATTGTTTCATCATAGATATTTTAAATATTTTACAAAAAGGTATAAATGTTAATGATCATTTATTTAATATTAAAATAGCTCATATTGTATGTGATGCACCGGCCAAGGCATTTTTATTAAATGTGAAACCACATAATGCCTATCACGGATGTAATGCATGTATTGATGAAGGTGTTTTTAATAAAACTATGACATTCTTAACAACAAATTCTCCTATGAGAACAGATGATTCATTTAGAAAAAAAATTGATGATTGCTACCATAAAGGTATAAGCCCATTGGAGAAATTACCAATCAATATGGTTGATGACATACCAGTTGATAACATGCATTGCGTTTATGTAGGTGTTACAAAACGATTGATTAAATTTTGGGTCAAAGGTAAAAAAGATATCAGATTATTAGATCAATCAAAAAAAGATGTAAATGAAAGTATTTTAAATTTAAGATCTTATGTTCCATCAGAATTTTCTAGATTGCCTAGATCTTTAGATGATATCGATCACTGGAAAGCAACAGAATTAAGAACTTTTCTTTTATATTATAGTCACATTATTTTAAAGGGTAAATTAAAAAAACCATTCTATAAACATTATTTATTTTTATTTAGTGCTATTAGACTCCTAGTAAATCCTGAAACATGTATTTTATATAATGAAAAAGCTAGGCTTTTATTGGAAAAATTTATTTCTGGGTATGCAATTTTATACGGGTCAGAATTTATAACATATAATGTGCATAATCTTATTCATTTACCATACTTTGTTATAAAACATGGGCCACTAGAATCTTTTAGTGCCTTTAGGTATGAAAATTATTTAAAAGAACTTAAAAAAAGTATGAAATGTGCTAAGTATCCTCTTCAAGAAGCAAGTAATAGAATTTTCGAAAAATATAATGAAATAAATAATAAAAAACTTAGTCAAACAAAAAATCTAATATTTCAAAAAGAAATATTTAATGAATCTGATAATTTAGATGGCACATCATATGAAAAATTAATTTTAAATGAATATTGTTCATTTAATATAAATTCTATTAATAACAAGTATATAATGTTAAAAAATAATGACCTAGCCGTAATAAAAAAAATAATAAAATTTGGTGAAAACGAGGTTAAATTTGTTGTTAAGAAATATAACAATATTTCAGAAGTGTTTAATTTATCAGATGTTAATTTATCATCAACATATTTCGGTGCTTTTATCGTTGACTTAAATTTGTTATCGATCAATCAAACTTATAATAGTTCTGTTGTTTTTTTAACTGATATTAAATGTAAATGTTTTTTTTTTTTACAATTATCTGTCTGTACAGCATCAATCACAACATTATGTCATGATGTATACCTAGAATCATAATTAATTTTTTTTATATCACAAGATGATTATTTTTTTAATAAAGTGATTACTGTCTATACTATTATTTTATCTGTCTATTTACCTATTTCATAAATATATTAAATAATAAATATTATAATACAATTACCTACTAAAAGTTAAATTTATAATTATAAAAATTGTATCACTAGTGATTTAAAATATAATGTTAATAATAATGTTTGTATATACCTGTATTATGTATTAATGTATTATTACTTAAATTAATTTTATTTTTGAAAATTATGTGAATAAATAAACTAAAATATATTATATGTTTTTATTAAGAAAAATCTATCTACACTCTACAGTGTAATTATTATATAATTCACATTATAT